CTTTATTTTCTCTCTTTAGTGGAAAATTGCTATCTGGATTTTTTTTTCCTTCGTACTCCTTCCTTTGTCACTTTGATTTTGCACTGTCACGAGAAATCCCCTTTTGGTTGATTTGGCGGGACTTTAGAAATTTTCAGATTTCTTTTGGCTGTCTTTAGACGAATCTGTGTATTGTCAAACAATTAATTTGATTGGTCCTTTTTAATTTCATTAAATGAATGTTATTGGTGTACTTAAAATGTTATGGATTGCTGACATATCACTTAATTGGTGCATGTACAACTTTTTTCCTCTCTCTTTTTCTGATCAGTATTTAATGAAGCTATCCACTTCACTTGCACTTCCAATTATTGAGTTTAAGTAATCAGATTTTTCCCTAATTCTCCTGCAAAAAACAAAAGGGACTTTGTATTAAAGGACGGAGGGAGTAATTCTTAGGCTTTGTGAATTATGATTTATACTCTGAATTGGCCACGTATGCTATGAAATGATGAAGGATGGTTGGCTATAAAATCTACTTTGTTACTCCTCGTTGTTATAACTAATTGTTCAATGTAATACTCCCTCCGTCCCATAATAAATGAGACGTTGGATTTTTTTTACTATTCATGCATTAGATTTGACCATAATTTTTTACTAACATAACTAAAATATATTTTCTCAAAAAATATGTTGATAGATAAGTATTAATATAAAGTTTCATAATATAATTTTTAAAATAATTTTCATTAAATTTAATTATATAAAAATAAAGTCAAACTAATGCATTGACATGTGTATAATGTTTGACTGTGTCATGTATTATGGGACAGAGGAAGTACTGTTTATTTGGTTCTCATGTTACTTAGTGTGTGTCTTTTTGGTTGTTTTGTTTGTATTAGTTTGTCTTTAGGTTGTAATACTATTTTTTGTTAATAGAATCTGTTGTCAAAAAACAACAACAACCAAAAAAAAAAAAAAACCTAATTGTTCAATGTTTCTGACATCTGCATTAGGATATTTTGTTGTATAATGATGATGGGCAGGTCCATGGGCCGAACTTAGTGAGCTAGCCTGTGGGTAATTTCGTGTTTCTATATGTCCTTATAGGGCCGGGTGTATAGAGTTTATTTTAAATCACACCAAACCTTCTTTCTCTTCCCACCTTTTCCCACCCTTTCTTTTCCATCCCTTTTCTTTATCCAAACACATCACAAGCAACAACAAATTGAACCTTCAAGAAATCAAGACCACGTCTTCAAAAGAAGTCATGTTGTTCTGTAATTAACATCATACACACTTATTGCGTTCCTTTCATCATCTTAAGATTGTTAGGCACCTTTCTTTACCTCTTTATACCTCCATCCTAATCATCCCAAATTTACATCTTCCTCAATTCTCCAACTTAGACACACACTCCTAGTACATTTATTGACATTCACACAAACAAAACCCAACGTATTGTACAAGAGAGCCAAAATCAGCAAACTCAAAAGGGTATCATCCTACAGTAACAAAGATCAGAGCAACCACACACTTCCCACGTTATACAACTAATACGCACTGAAAGCAATAAAGAAAGTGAAACAAAAGAACACCTTAACATGCATGAAGAACAACAAAGAGGAACGAAGCAAGATCAAAACCTACTAACGCCCAAAAACCAGAACATGGGCCATAAATAGACCTCAACGGCAACAAAATTGGCAAAATTAAATCCAAAATATGTCCTTAATACAAGTATAAGAAATGGATCAATGGTTTGGATTTCTGCTGTCTTGTGCTAGACCCCGGCAACTAGCTAGACTCTAGCCATTTAAACAAGTATTGTTGACAAATGATATTGATAAAAGGGCGGCCACTCGGACAAAAGTCGTACGTACTTACGTGGTTGCCAGCTTTAGTATGCAAATAATTCACACAAATATTTTATCAACTTCAAAGGAAATCATCATCCGCCTTCATGCACGTTCAAACTTTTGGGATGGTTGTAATTATTTTTATTTGTCAATTGTGTAGTGGTGCATAAACGTAGACACCTTTTGGTCCAAATTACTTTGTATTTTTTTTTTTTTTTTTTTTTTTTTTTAAGGTAAGGAGAAGGATGCTGATTGTACCTTAATCTTCATGGTTTTTTGGTCTCATATTTGTAGATCAAGACATTTTGACAGTGAGGGGAAAAGGGTAAGAGATCCCCATCCTCAAAGTGTCTCTAGTAAGGATTGAACCTCTGGAAGGTACAATCTTTACCACTAGACCAAGCTTAGCTTGATATTGATGATTCCAAATTACTTTGTATTACTAACTTTCTTAACAAAAGTGACAAAACATAAGCATGCAACGATAAGATAGGGGGTAGGTAGTACTCGATGTTTGTCATTTAGGGGTGTTCATAAATCGGTCTGGACCTAAAAAATGGACCAGACCGACCCCGGACCGGACCAGACCGAATTAATCGGTCCGGTATTCGGGTCTAGAAAATTATTTTTTTGGTTTTCGGTCCGATCCGGTATAAAAACCCTATAAAAACCGATCTTGGACCGGATCGATTTTTTTTGCTTAAAATTATGTGTGAAACCTTAAATAATGGTTAAGATTATCCTTAATAAGCTTAGAAAACTTTAATTTTATGAGCTTTTTTGTACTAAACATACAAAAAAAAACGTTAAAATATAGTTTTTTCCCTTACTTTTTTCGACTTTTCAATAAAATTATTAAAAATTTAGATTTTTTTTTTAAAAAATTCTTAAATCGGTCCAAAGCGGTCCCGACCGGGGTTTGGATCGATTCTTTTGATCTGGTCCGGTTTCGGTCCCAGGTTAATCGGTCCGGTCTTCGGTTCTTAAAATTCTAATTTTCAGCCTTCGGTCCGATTCGAGTCGGTCTGGTCCGGTCTTTGACCGATGAACAACCCTATTGTCATTGATCCGAATTCATCTATACTACTAGACTACTACCTTCCTACCTCTATGTATTCCATATGTTTCAATATTCATAGTAATTATATTTTCAAATTTGAATTGACAATATTTGTCAACTTTACCTTGATTATTGTAGGAGTAAGTCGTAGCAATATTGATTTCATGGCTGAAAACAAGAATATTGCAATAAAAGATAATGAGGGGTGAGCAGATATACAGATGAGATGGTTCTGGACACCAAGTAGGTGGGCCCTTTCAGGAACCCAAAGAAGCATGCACCTTGATGTCTAACTTTTCTGGGCTAAAAAATGTTTTTCGGGGCTAAATTTGAAGGCTAGCTAGCAGCTATAATGCACGAAAATAGATCATTTTTAGATATTTTGGAATTTAGTGTCGAAATCTGATCAAAGGATTCAACCCAAGATAATATTGAATTGTTTGTAACTATATACGTCCTCTAGTTAGTCACATAAAAGCTCGTGACGGCTTTGAATTGATGAAAAGGCGACATATACTTCCTATGTATTTGGCTAAATCAATAATTAAGAGGCAAAGTCGATGGTTACAAATTTACAATCACCTAAATGTTCACCAAAGATCTTGTGGAATCCATAGGAACTGCCTTGTCCCCTTTCCTTTTCGAGCAAAGAAAGTCGGGAACTATTCAAACTTAAAGACTATATCCATGCTTTAAAATTAATTTCGAAAAAATTTCCAAAATTGAAGTGGTTGTGAAGGGTGTCCCTCCAAATTATAAAAGTTGGTTTGTAACCATAATAAACCTAAAAATAATAAGTCTGCTAGTTGATTTGTCACTGTTTTGAGGTCAGATGTGCGTAACAAAAGTTAAAAAAAAAATTCCAGAGTCTTCCAAAACAAAATAATGTGACAAAGACGAATCCGTTGTTACCCATAATAATAAATCAATTCAGCTAGTTGTTTAGCCTTTTTTTTTTTGGTGCTATCTTTGAATTAATAATTAGTACGAAGTATGATGGTGGGATGCAAAGCGCATAATTAGTGGAGATGGAGAATGATTTTGATTTAACGCAAAAACCTCCTTTAATTTGAGTCTTCCCTATTGGTTGGACGTTGACCTGTGAAATACTATTAAGATATATTTTGAAATATATTTAGGAGCATATTTTCTCTAGGATATATTTTCCCCATATTTATCTTGTTTCCTTAGCTAGTTGTTGGTGTTTGACTAGAATTAGGAAACGTAGGACCTTGTATTATATATTAGGTGCTCTTGCTAATTAATGAAATCAAGCCATCATTCATAATCTTCACAAATACCTTATTTAATAGAGAATGTAGTACGAGTATATGAAAATCTACAATATACTTGCACCCCCTTAAAAGAAAAGAAAAAAAAAAAAAAAAAAAGTCCCAAATAAGTGATCCATATACTTCTTTAAAAATGATTTTCTCAGCGTATTATAAATAGTTTCCTTCAGTTTTTTTGTTTTCTTTCTACTTTTAACCTTTTCTTCTCTAAAAAAAGTCCCAAATAAGTTTTAAAAAAAATTATAAAGAAGAAGAAAATAATATGGAGTAATATATCAACTCATCAAGTGGGATGTTCGGATTCGACAAGCTTCACAAAATCACAATAATCTAACCAAACCTACTACTACGAACTACGGAGTACTTTTTTGTCCCTAATTTTTTGCCTCATTATTAATATATATGTGGGTCAAACTTTAAAAACTTTGATCATAAATCTTGTTAATCTATAAGAAATAATTTAGTCAGGTAGAATCTTGTTATTAGATTCATTTCGTTGTACTCCTTAATTCTTATATTTTATTAATATAAAGTTTTTATAAATTTTACACGATTGAAACTTGAGATATATATGTACTTTTTAGACCTGCACATCTTAAACACGGGAAAAAGTCAAATAATGGGACAAAAAAAAATAATAAAGAGGGAGGGATAGCTCATAAGAGAATAGTAATATTTTTAAAATGCAATAAAGGGTGGTATAATTGAGAGATTGTTATATAATTAAGCAACAAATAATATTGTCAAGCATAATATATCATTTTCATCCTTGACCATATAACATGATCACATGGACAAAGGAATATTCACCTTTGCAGCTCCAGGCCACCCTGTAGCCTTCACTAATAATCTTTCTCACTATCATTGAGTTTCTATATATATATGTATGCACTTTTTTAGCTAAGGCATTCATTTGCATCTCATTTGTCAAACTTTTTGTACGTAAGAGTAGTAGAGTATATACTACTCTATTATTAGAGAGAAAAAGTGTGTACAATTACTCCATCAACATGAGCAGCAGAATAGCCCTTGGAACAAGCCGAGAGGCAACACAACCTGATTGCATCAATGCCCTCGTCGTTGAATTCATTTGCACCTTCCTCTTTGTCTTTGCCGGTGTTGGATCCGCCATGGCTGCTGGTACCGCCTTCTCTCCATTCTTTTGATCATTTTAAATAAATAGTACAGTATATACGGAGTACTTCAAAATTTTATACGTAGTAATTCAATTAGAGAAAAGGAAAGAGGCTCGTTAATAAATTAATTTTCTTATTAATTAATGTTTTACTACGGAATATTCTGTTAGCCATGACTCCTGTAGGTCGTCTAAGCTACTTTGCGTAATAATGATAAGGTTTATGCTCCACATATTAATTAGCTCTACTTGTATGATATTCCACACATACGTTATCCTGAACCTACCAAAAGTCATCATTGTATGTTACATGTGAACGAAAACTCATCTTAAATATTACTTCCTCCATTCTTTTTTACTTGACCTGTTTCATTTATCACGCTTGCCTAACTTTAACGATCAATAACTTTAATTCCCCAAAAGTAAAAATTATAGAAAATATATATTATGATAGTACATGTTGAGTCAAGTCAAATAAGATCCCACATAAATATGTTTTTACATGTATATAATTCACAAAAGAACGGAGGAAGTATAATTTTTTACTACGTATGACTTTATCCAGCTAAGCTAGATGATATTTATTGTCAATTGATCACTTGGTATCATCGAGAAAAATGTTTATATTCCTATCATGCATGTTTTAATATGGTTGAAAAATGTGAATTTTACAGATAAAGCAGGAGCAAGTACAATAGTAGGGTTGTTATTCGTGGGAATAACACATGCATTTGTAGTAGCAGTGATGATTGCTGCAGGATTTAACATTTCTGGAGGGCACTTGAACCCTGCTGTTACCCTTGGTCTTGCTATTGGTGGCAACATCACAATTATCAGATCTCTATTGTATTGGATCATCCAATGTCTTGCTTCGGCTCTTGCTTGTTTTTTGCTTACCTATGTCACTGGTGGACTGGTAAATTATTTTCCTTTACCTCACTTATCGTTTCGTTTTTATCTATCCTCCGCTTTCTTTTAAACTACAGAGTAATTGTTTCTTTTGTTCGGACTCAGTTGTTAAATTGTCCTAATATTTAATTGAGGATCTTATGTTATCATAATATATAAACATATTAAGTCATTTAATTATAAACTAAATAAAATACTTCGTAAAATTAATATATTTGTTGATAAATCCTTATATAATACATACTCCCTCCGCCCACAATTATCTGCACCAAACGTCCTTTTTGCGGACTCCTAGGCAAAATTTTTAGTGGAATTTAATTAAATTTGAGTGGGTTTAATTAAGTGGGAAAAAGGAGGGAAAGAAGTGGTCCCTTAATTTTTTGTTTTTGGGTGAGTGGGAAAAAGGTGGAAAATTGAGTGTAATTAAAAGATGTTAAATAAAGTTAAAAAAATAAAAGTAAGGGTAAGGTGGTCTTTTTACTCTTTAAAATTTACTAAAAGAGAAAGAAAAAAATTTGTTACACATAATAGAGAGCACCCATTTATGGCAAATGTTGCAGATAATTGTGGGCAAAGACGACTCTACGGTCCTGCCCTATGTGACTCCTATTTTTGAACAGCGGAATAATATAATAATTAAAGTTTTAATCATATCGGTGAATAAAAAAAACTATAAAACGTAGGGAGTATTAATTTTGACGTTTTTGCCTTTAACAATGCAGGTAACCCCTATACACTCTCTTCCAAAGGGGGTGGACCCTCTACAAGGATTGGTAATGGAAGTGATCCTAACATTTTCTCTCCTCTTCACAATTTACACAACCATTGTAGACCCAAAGAAGGGCCCACTTCAAAGCCAAGGTATATTGCTAACTGGGCTTGTGGTTGGGGCCAACATCTTTGCTGGTGGGCTTTTCTCTGGGGCATCAATGAACCCAGCTAGGTCATTTGGGCCGGCTCTTGTAAGCTGGAACTGGACTGATCACTGGGTTTATTGGGTTGGCCCACTCATTGGTGGAGCTCTTGGTGGGCTCATTTGTGACAACTTTTTCATTGTTAGATCTCATGTTCCTCTTACAAGAGATGATGAAGCTTTCTAATGTCATTATTGTGCAAATTAAAATGTAATTTGTTGCACTTGAGCATTTGCGAAAAGAGCAAGCTTCTTGATGTAACTTTGCAATTAAGTGGATGATTTAATGGAATATTGGCCTATAAAAAACAACATAAGTCTTTTTTGAATATTGTTCCATTGCACTTTTCTATAGCATAAACTTTAAAAACTTTTATCCAAAATATCACTTATTCACAACTGACAATATATGGTTATATGAAATATGGAATCAAAATTACATAGTTTACATGTAAAATATATACTTTAAAATGTGTATTAGATATCGTGAAAAGTAAAATGAGACAAAACTTAAAGCTAGATAACTTATACAGTACTTCTTATTTGGTATATCAAGGCCGTACTCAATTTTTACAATATAATCATAGAACCTTTGATGCATGTATGTTCAAGAAATTATCAATGCAATAGTGACATACATCAGATACATGTGATACATATATATGTGACCATGACAGATCAATTATACTGTCCAACAATTGATTACAACATTTGCAAACTTCTCTAATAATAACTCAGTAAACTCACAAAAAAAAAAAAAAAAAAAAAGAAGAAGAAAAAAAGACAAACTATACAACGGTTGAAAGGACACAGCAATAGTGAAATGAAATACAGAGTAATTAATGATTCTGCAAAAGTACTAATATTAGACTTCAATTATAAACAATACTTACAAGATAATTTTGATGCGCAACGAGTTTCTACTTTACTTTTTAACCTATAAAACGAGTGTTATAGAGTTAGAATATGTAAATTACATAACTAATCAAGTTGCAATTCCTTTGTTTCTATCAATTTAGTTGAAACTCTTTTGGACTAACGTATTTTCTAGTACTTCTAAATATCTTCGACTATTAATAAAAAAAAAAATTATATAGTGAATTAACAAATCTAAAAAAACTCTACATAATTATGTTATTCTTAAGTATATAAATCATAAGAATGTCATCCAAAAGTAACTTATATATATAGTGTTAAAAGTAATAATATGTCAACTATAAAAAATAATATGATTAAATTATAAAATTTTATTTGGATAAATTTTCCTTTAAGCTTAGGGGCTCTAAACATTGTTGTAGGTGTATTTCCTGATTAATACATCAACTTTGTAACATTTTACAATACTTGAAGATATGACAACAACATACTCGATCTACATAATTTTTCCAATGTAATAAAATCTAATACGTTAAAACTATACATATGCTTCAGAACATAATTATGTGAGATTTTTTTTTTTTTTTTATTTCATTTCAATTTTCAATTTCTAAACCATCCTAAAAAAAAGATAAATCAGAACGTTAGTTCCGAGCTCAAACCAAAAGGACTCTCAAGAACATAACGGAGGGATTATGTTTTATTAAGCAAAAGCATGTGTAGAAGGGTGATTTCATGCATGCACAGATTAGAAACTCAAGTGTCAATTCTTATCTAAAAAAGTCAAGTGTCAACTTGAAAGAAAAACTAAGTTGTGATTCTATTTATGGTTTAGACACCTACTCATACTTACATGCCTAAACAAAACATAGTAGACTCTACATCAACAACATACATAGAAGAATATAGGATGATATGAAATCCTAAATATATATATGTGATCAAATTCCGTTTAAATTACTATCGATTATTTATGATTGGTTGTACCTAAAATAAATAAACTTTATATTTTTTTAATCTTTTATTGTATTCTAGGTCAAAGGATTTGAGGTCGTAGGCAGGGCAAGTTAATTTTGCTATTGATAGATCGTGGTACGTCTTTTTTTGTTCCAAGATTTATTGAAAACTTTAATACATATATTAAGTATACAATACTTTGTCGCACAAATAAATTAAATGTAATAACCTAGAGGGCATAGCTAGGTATGGAATTAGGATAAATAAGATAACTTATGAGAGTAATAATATGGTCTATACTAATATAAATATAATTAAATAACACATTACATAAAACTTAATCATCATGTAATTAAATTATTAAACCAACTTATGTAAACTGCGACTAATTTGGAGCTTCTTCTTCACCCATGAAGGAGACAACACAGGACTTGTCTCAAACTCCATTTGAGATTTACTCTCCTCCCTATCATCATCATCATCATCATCATCTCCGAAAGGCGATTTCTTTACTTCCGGAGACAACTTAACTCTCCACGCCTTAAACGTTTGATCCAAACTAGCAGTATACACCAAGAAACTCAACGCAAACTTATCCTTTTGTAAGAAAGTAGCCAAGCATCTTACAGGCCCTCTATGACCTTCCAACACCGCGAGGCACTCGTGTATATTACCTCTTCCTTTTTCTCTTTTCCATATCCTAATCGTCGAGTCCTCAGATCCACTAATCACTATATTCTCAATAGTCACAAGGCTAAGGACTGCGAACCTATGCCCTTGTAAGAACCCTCCATGAGTGTACCTACAAGAAATCTCTTGCTCCCAATAGTTTATCGTACCATCCGTAGACCCCGAATACAAGAAGCTCTTATTTGACACCGCGACACTAAAGGCTAAGGCATGAAAAGGGTAGGCATGAAATACAAGAACCCTGATTAAGGCATGGGAGTTTTCACCATAAACCCTTAACCACATTTTTACCGTTCCATCGGACGAACACGTAATAAGATAGCCATTTTGTTGGTTAACCACCATATCATTTATATTACCACCATGAGCTATAAATGAGTCTACACATTTCTTCTCATTAACCCTCCAAGCTTTAACGGTTCGATCGAATGAGCCGGTGTATAGAATCCCTTCAACATGGTAGTAAGCCATGCAAGAGATAGTGTCCCTATGTTGTGGGATAATTATTGGCTTAGAAGTGCCCTTAATTTGTGGGGCAATTGGCCTAGAAATGATTTTTTTGAAATGACTATCATTTGGTAGGGTAGTTAACTTCCTAGGTCTAAAGCTGCTACTACTACTATTACCACTACAATCCTTCATGTTCCAAACCCTAATCTTGTGATCCTTGTGTGATGTAAAGAGTACCTCACCATGAGCCACCATGGCTCGAACCTCACCCGAGCTTGCATGTATGTACCCTTTTGCATGGCAGTCAAGTGGCTTCCAAGCATGGATACGATGGCTAGATGAGCCAGTTAGCACTAGGTCATTTGAGACCGCGATGGAGTAGATATCTCCATCGCGATGCATAGATGAAATACAACAATAAAGTAGAGATGGGTGAGTAGGGGTCAATAAAGGTGAACGAGACCATATGGATTCGGGACTTGGTGGGAGCAATGGTGATGGCGATGATGGTGGTTCGGGGATGAAGCTAAGGTGGTGTAGCGAAAATTGATTAAAACTTGGTGATTGATGAACTTCTTTATAGGCTTCATCATCTTCATCATCATGAAAAAAAACTAGACATAGAACTATTTCTCTCAATAATATTGACGCTTTGTATGGTGTGGTTCATAGTTAGAAAGAAAGAAATTGAATAGAAAGTGAAGAAATTATGGAAAACGTTACGTTGTAAGGTGGTACGTGTAGGGCATTTAAGCATGCAAGACGCATTTAAAAAACGCCGAAAAGTTGGCTAATCGTAATTTAATGAAAACTTACATAAGGAGTAAAGATTTTTGGCAATGTAATGCTTAAAGTTGGTTGAGGAAATGGCATGCATTTAAACACGCAATTCAAATTAAGCAACAATTTATTATGCCCCCACAAAAATTAATCTGTTTATTTTATGTATGTAAGAAAAATTCGCACCAAAAAAAATGCACGTAAGAAAATGTGTGCATGAATTAAAATCATTATTGTATCGACCGCAAAAATAGTTTAAATTTATTGCACTGAAGTATATATTGAACACATCGTTGCATCTATCACCACAAGAATAGTTTACAAAAGGCCAAATAATGTTTGATTAGGAGACTATTTAATTTGATTCGTTATATATGATTTTATGACATATATATGGAGTACTTACTAAGCTAATTTTAGGTTTAATTGTTGTGGTAATTAGTAATGAAAAGGGTCGGGTATACAAATTATAAAAGGGTAATGCTACCTAATAAGCTATAAACAAGCATTATATATCTTTTCTGATATGGTACTCTGTATTAGTTGAGAAATGCATAAACAAATCACGCGTAAATCAGTATAATTAGTGAACACTTTCTTCTGATCTTTTAGGTTCTTATCATTTTCCTTTATAAAATTATAAAAATAATGTTTATGGACAAATGTGAATTAAAGGTTCCGTCAACTCAAAAATGGGTAACGAATATGAGATGAGGTTGGATGTTTCCAATTAGTTGAATGGGTAACGATGTCATCATAAGCCAAGTTAGCACCTTGTTATATAATGTTATGACTTATGAATATTGGACAATTCGTTATTGAAAACATACATCCAAGACATCGAGGCACATAAAATTAGGCATAAGGACATGTAGCTCTAAATTTTAAACAAAATTCATTAAATTTAACGTGTGTTTGTCAACCTGTAAAACTTTGTATATGTACACTTATTAGTTGAGAAAGGCCGTTGAAAAAGAGGGGAAAAAAAGGGTAACGTTGTATATAAGCATTTAATATACTTCCTTTTTTAGTATTAAGTTGGGAATTTATCGACAATTTACGAGTAAATCGGTATAATAAATGTTTATTTATTGTCTATTCTTTTCACTTTTAGCTCTTATATGCAGCCTTAAGGGCTACATATATCTTTTTCCAAAAAAAAAAAAAAAAAAAAAAAGAAAGAGAAAGACCTCCACCTTTTTTTTTTTTGTCTTTTTTAAATTGTAACACAAATTCTTATATGTGACCAGCTATCATGGGGTTACTTCGTTATTGTTATAAGGATACTTAATTAGTGTTACAGGGTTAGTTCGTCAGTGTTATAGGGGTTACTCGGTCAGTGTTATCGGATTAGTTTGTTCTTTTACAAACAGTTATATGATATGCCCAGCCGCACACTAAACGCGCTGAAATTGTAGTGTGCTTGTTGATAGTGACGTGCTTTAAAGTTAGCTAATCCCTTGATCATTTGGCTTAGTAATTAAATTCACTGCAAAAAAATTAAAACTGAGAGGTCAAGGTTTACTCAGCTCAAAATTTAATTAAAGAGCTAATAATAAACATAACGATCTCTTAT